GAATGTACGGAAGTAGATTTCGGAGACCCAAATTCTACCGTATTGAAGCGCTTTCTCTTATCCCACCTAAATACTCCAAAATCATTAATGACTCATCTCGCGTTACAAAATCGTAGGCACCCAAAAAGTGTCTTCTGATATCTGACAATAATGCTTTTAGATGATTCAAAAGTGATTGCTTTTTTTTTGACAAAGTGCTTTTGGAGAGTTCGCTTTGATTCGTTTTGTATTACTTTATCAATAAAGTGCTCTTGGAAATTTGTTCAATGTGAAATCCAAACCGTTTTTTGCTTACTTTTAATGGTTGAACCTAACTAACCCAAAATCTGTGAGTAGGTTCTGGTGTTCAATCAAAGAGCAATTACTTATTTGGAAGCTTTGAGATGCAGATGAAGTTGGTACCGGGCAACTCTGCAGGAACAGTCACAGCATTCTATGTACGTTCCATTCCAATCCATGTTTTTTGTTGGTTTTCTGTTTATGAACAATCATAAAAGTAGAACTCCATAAATGCGCGTTACAGTAAATGCTTGCAAGTAGTGTAATTTAGAATGAATCAATGAGTGAATATGTTATCAATATGTGTCATAAGTATTGAATTTTTGATCAAATACAGAGTATATGTTCCATGATACTTTTACCAATACTTTGAAATTGGGTTTAAACAGATTTCTTCATTCGCGTTTCCCTGTAATCCTCTGGAACATTATACTTGCGATACATTATCCTTGATCCTTCTGAAATACTTATCATCCCTTCTATGGCACTTTCCACTATTTCACCAAATATTTTCTGTAAATCCAATTCGTGTATCTTGTTGGTTCACAGCTCTCTTCAAATGGAGTCAATCATGATGAAATCGACTTTGAGTTTCTAGGAAATGTGACTGGGAAACCTTACATCATCCACACAAACATCTTCACTCAGGGTGGGGGTGGCCGGGAAATGCAATTCTACCCTTGGTTTGACCCTACTGCCGACTACCACAACTACACCATTCATTGGAACCCAAAAGCTGTTGTGTAAGTATTATGCAAACTGGTAAAGCGCTTGGTTCTTGAATATATTTTAGCCACTCACACCATCCGGATGGTATGTTTGGATTTTCAGATGGTATGTTGATGGGATTCCGATAAGGGTATATAGGAACTACACGAGCGAAGGGATTGCCTTCCCAAACCAACAAGGCATGCACGCGTACTCAAGCATTTGGAATGCAGAAGACTGGGCGACGAGGGCTGGCCTCGACAAAATTGAATGGAGCAATGCTCCATTTGTGGCCAAGTTGCGGAATTTCAGGTCAAGTGGGTGCCCCTTGAAAGCGCCGGAGAATATCAGGCAGTGTGTTACGCCTTTAGAAACCAACATGGGTGCATTTAGCCGGCTGAGTGATGCAAAGGCCGGGCAAATGGACTGGGTTAGGAGAAACTATATTGTTTATGACTACTGCAAAGATGTAAAGAAGTTCAAAAGAGGGTTGCCCGGAGAATGTTTCCTACCACAACTCTAAGAAGAGCTATTTCAGCCAGCATCATCCATCCACTATAATGAACCTATATTGATTACCTTGTGTGTTTAATTTAATTCAGTGCTATTAATTAACCCTGGCCTCTTAATATCTCTCTCATTTGTCCTTTGATTTTCTTCTAGTGCGCCTTCAACTCTTTTGTACTCATTCTTTCAGTCAATGACTTTATGTGAATATTTTCATGCGCTCTGGAATTGTTTTTGAGTTTTCTACTCCGTCTGTGTAGAGACATAATCATACAAACCATACATAGCACCCACAATTGTTAAATAATTATATTAGATTATTTAATGACTTAAGTTGCGTTTCGTTCATCTGATCTGATTTGATTGGATCTTTCTAATATAAACTTGATTTAAATAAAAACTAAAATTATTATTATAATAGTTATAACAATAGTAATAATAATAATAGTACGGTAATAGTAATAACAATAATAATACTAATGGTAGTTATAATAATAATAATAATAATAATAATAATAATAATAATAATAATAATAATAATAATAATAATAATAATAATTTTATTTAGATATGATTTGATTGGACCTGACTGGATTGGGTCTGATCAGGCATGATCGGATTGGATCTGATAGGATCTGATCTGATATGATTGGATTTGATCTATATAATCTGATCCGATTTTAATAGGAATAAGTAATAAACAGAAAAAATAAATTGAATGGAATGCTGCCTTAACCCCATTTTGATCCATGTTGATGTAGTTTTTAAATATATAAATTTTATATTTTAATTTTACACCTACAATCAAATAAATTGAATTGAAAATAAAGTCGCTCAAACCTCGTAAACACAAACGAGAAGATAGTTTTAGGATGGAGGAAGTATCAATTTTATAAATCACCCTAAATAGGACTAAAACATAGAGAAAAGTACCAAAATAGAACTCTCATGTTTTTTTCCCGAAATAGGACTTCACACTGAGGTAATGTGGTTGTCTGTTCATTTTTATTTATTTCCTCCTTTAATGTTAATAGTGTAATTTATATACAATAATAATGCACATATTGCTCCTTATTACCTTTTCCATTTGTTACCATTTTTTATTTATTTCTTCTCTTATTTTTAATAATGTAATAATATTGCATTAATTTCTAACCATTTTTTTAAAATCCGCATGCCAATAATAATGCATCGTAATATATTAAAAATGTAATAACACACAGTTTAATTGTTATTTCATTTTTTATTCCTAACCACTTTATTTATTTCCTCTTTTAACTTTATTATTTTATATATATATATATATATATATATATATGAAAAAAAATGTCTAGAGAGAGAAAAAATGAACCGGCGACTGTCGCCGGAATCCACAATCGGAAAAAACTATTTTCAGAAGTATTGAAATCCCTTAAGGAAGAAGAAAAATTACAAGGTGCTGTTCAAGGTACATTCAAGGGATGCCCATCAGTTTCATTTACAATTGAAGATATCAAAGTACTATCAAAGAGATTCTCCTTTGCTTTGATTGGAACATTCTTGAGGCGTCCTCCATATCCAGTGATGAACAACTTCCTACAAAAACTTGGCCTCCAAGGGAAATTCACGTTGGGGAAACTCTCACAAAACCAGGTACTCATCAACTTTCAACTTGAAGAAGATTATCAAAGAGTTTTTTTCAGGCAAACTTGGCTGGTGGGTAATCAACTTATGGTGGTTACCAAGTGGACTCCTGATCACATTGAGGGAGCAGATTGTCCTATCGTTCCGGTTTGGGTTTCTTGTCCAAACTTACCTATCTACCTTCATGATCAAAGAGCCCTGGCTGTTATTGCATCTTCATTGGGAAGACCACTTAAAGTTGATGAAAACACTCTCAATTTCTCCAGACCAGACCTTG